AGAACTAAACATTTTCATTGTGTTTCTGTTTCCCTTTACTAGGCTAAAGTGAACAACTCCAGCCTGATAGGGTTAGGATACACTCAGACACTAAAGCCAGGTATGTGTTGGTTGTATGTGAAATTAGTTCTTTGTGTTAAAAAAAATTGTGGTTCTTGTTTGCTGCTTTATGTTGTTGCTTATAAAATGCCTGTATCGTATTGTACATTGTAAATGTCTGTAAAGTTTTATAATGAAATGTTTATAAAAGTATGCAGAGTCATAATATAATTTGGAGAATAGGAGAAGTGGTAAGTAGAAGAGAAGAAGAGCAAAGCTAACATATTACATTTTATTTTTTTTCTTCCATCCTTTTTTTCTGCCAGTGTATACAATGCTTGACACTAATTTCCATTAGATTCTTCAAACTAGCCCATAAGTCATCCTCATGGTAAAACCGGTTTGCAGGTTTCCTCTGCACAGTTGGCCAGGCCAGTCCCTGAAGCTAATACCACCTTGGGGTTAGTTTGGATAAGTTGGGCCTTTGAACCCTAGAAATCTAAGATTACATGATGTCGGAATCAAGCTATTCTAGGGAAAATATCAGTTGTGTGTGTGTGTGTGCGCACACCCACATGCTGTGAATGTGAGTGTAAGACCTCAGTGTCTGATTCATGATTGGGGTTTCATTTCAAGGGGCTATTGCTGAAGAAGCTTAACGCGTGGCAAATGGTAGCAGAAGATGATGAAAGGAAAAAGGAAGTGGAATCCCTAGAGTGGATTTGGGCAGGCTGTGGAATAATACTGATTATTGTATAAGCTCATTCTAGGCTGCCTATTAATTATTCAGATAGCATTAAGTAACAGGGATTGAAGGGCCATGTGGTTTTGCCCCAGATCACATGGATGGAACAGGTTTTGAATTTTGTTTGGTTTTGCCAGGATGCTCCAGAGTGTCTTAACTTTCTTCTCTTCACCTCTCTCCCTTTTCTCTCCCTGATTTTTCCACCTGCAGGTATCAAATTGACACTGTCAGCTCTGTTGGATGGCAAGAATGTCAATGCTGGTGGCCACAAGCTTGGTCTAGGACTGGAATTTCAAGCATAAATGAAGACTGTACAATCGTTTAATTTTAAACTATTTTGCAGCATAGCTACCTTCAGAATTTAGTGTACCTTTTAATGTTGTATGTCTGGGATGCAAGTATTGCTAAATATCACATTAGACCTCCAGGTTAAAGATGATTCAGCTTTAAAGTGTTACCCTTTCAGAGGTACAAAAGAAACCCAATTCCAGAACAGGTCCTTTCAGCTGTAGACTTTGGGGAACTTGGCAGCCCCTCTAGAGATGTTAGGTTTCTTTTTTATCTAGAAATGGCTGCAAGTGGAAGCTGATGACTTGTAAGCACTTTGTAAATTTGTATTGCTTAAATGTATGAAATTGTGACTTCCTGAGAACTGAACTTTGATTTCCTACCCTAACTGAGAGAGGCTCACTGTTTGATGGTGTTTACAAACTCATCTAACAGGACTTTTTTTAGACATCTTCACAACCTATTTCCACCCTCTTTTGCACCAAAAGTAGTCTGCAGGGTGTGGTAGTTGTTTCTTTTGTGCCATTTTGGGGTGGAGAAGGTGGATGTGATGAAGCCAATAATTCAGGACTTAATTCCCTCTCATGTTGTGGTTTTTTTGCCCTTGCATCAGAGTATGAAATAGCTTCTAAGAACTCCAGCTGCAAGCTGGGAAGAGTCTGTGACTGTAATCACATGGTGACAACGCTCGGAACCTAAATTAGACTTCTGTTGTATTTTCGCCACTCGGTTTATTTTTTAGCAGTTTAATGGGTACATTTTAGAGTCTTCCATTGTGTGGAATTAGATCATCCCTTTCAAATGCTGTAATTAACATCACTTAAAATAAAACTTGAATAAAATATTGAAACCTCATCCTTCTGTTGTCTTTATTAATAAAAGTGTAAATAAACAGGGCATTTGGTCTTGTTTTTTGGCTCCTTTTCTGTGTGTGTGTATGTGTGTGATATTTTTAGTTCTCTGTTGCTGCATAACAAATCACAAATTTAGTGGCTAACACAACACTCATTTATTTATTTCAAAGTTCTAAAGGTCAGAAATCCAAGCACGGTGTGGCGGGGCTCTCTGGGAAGGTTCTCACAATGCTGACATTGGGATGTCAGCCAGACTGTGTTTTCACCTGGAGCGTAGGGTCCTCTTCCAGGCTCACATGGTTGTGTCAGAATTCATTTCCTTTTGGTTGTAGGATAGTGGTCCTTGTTTCCTTGCTGGCATCAGTGAGGGGCCACTCTCAGCAAGTGGAGGCCACCCACACGCCTTGCCATGTGTTCCCCTCCATCTTCAAAGCTGGAACAGAGAAACTGTCAAATCCCTCTCACACTTCAAATCTCCAGGAATAGCCCCAACCCCCTTTAAAATGTATTTTTATTTTTATTGAGATATAATTGACATACATTATATTAGTTTCATGTGTACAATATAATGATTCAATATTTGTATATATTGCAAAATCATCACAATAAGTCTAGTTCACATCTATCACCATACATAGTCACAATTTTTTCTTCTTTTGATAAGAACTTTTAAGATCACCCTGGCTGGTTTGGCTCAGCAGTTAGAGCGTTGGCCTGCGGTCCAGAGAGACCCTGGGTTCGGTTCCCGCTAAGGGCATGTACTTTGGTTGCAGTTTGTCCCCGGCCCTGGTTGGTCGTGCGAGTAGCAGCCACTTGATGTGTCCCTTTCACGTCGATGTTTCTCTCTCTCTCCCTCCCACTCTATCTGAACAAAAAATGGAGAAATGTCCTCAGGTGAGGATAAAAAAACCCAAACTTTTAAGGTCTATTCTCTTAGCAACATTCAAATATACAACACAGTATCATCATTAATTATAGTCACCATGTTGTATATTACTTCCCCATAACTTATTTATAACTGCTCCAACCCTTTTTTTTTTAAATTCTCACCTGAGGATACGGATATATATATGTATATATGTATATGTGTATACACACACACACACACACACACACACACACCTATATATATATTTTTCATTTATCAGTAGAGTAGGAGGGAGAGGGGAGAGAGAGAGAGAAAGAGTGAAACATCGATGTGAGAGACACATCGACTGGTTTGCTTCCTGCACGACCCTGGCATGCTGGGGACCGAACCGCAACCAAGTTATGTGCCCTTGACTGGAATCGAACCCACGACTCTGGTCTGCAGGCTGACACTCTTTTTTTTTTTTTTATCCTCACCCGAGGATATTTTTCCATTTTTTGTACAGATAGAGTGGGAGGGAGAGAGAGGAAGGGAGAGAGAGAGAGAAACATCGACGTGAAGGGACATCGAGTGGCTGCCACCCGCACGACCAACCAGGGCCAGGGACAAACTGCAACCGAAGTACGTGCCCTTAGCGGGAACCGAACCCGGGTCTCTCCGGACCGCAGGCCGACGCTCTAACCGCTGAGCCAAACTGGCCATGGCTGCAGGCTGACACTCTTAACTGCTGAGCCAAACCAGCCAGGGCTGGTATTGATATTTTGAAATGTACAAAGGGCCCTCTGAGTATGAGGGAATATTTTCCTCCCCATTTTCAATTAAGTATCTGCCTGTTGTATGCAGCATGACAGAATGTTATGTAAAATGCTTTTGCGCTCACAATAGCTCACCAGTAAGAATTGAAATAATCTGGGGAAGAAGAGACAAAGTGGACAAAGGAGAGGATTGAAGGTGTGTTTAGTACAGAAAAGGGCCTGTTTAAATCTGAATCCTCCAATAAACAGAAGTTAGAATTGAGAAGCTTATTCATTAAACTGAGCAGTGGTTTCTGTACTCATAGAAGGGAGAGCTTCAGGGTAACTTGGGAAGACTTGTACCCTGGCTACTCTGGAAGCTTTACAATAAGGGCACCATTCAGTCTATGTGGGTTTGTGGTGGGCTTAGGGAAATGAACGGATGAATGACTTCTCAGTTTTCTTAACCACATAGTTTGTGTGTTTCAGAGCTGTCACCAGGGCCAGATAAATGTTAAGGGAAACCAGATTCAGGAGAACACAGGCCCTTCTCTTCGGAGGCAGCTCAGCTGTATCTGGGGGGATAACAGCAATCTTCTGAGGGAACGACAGAGACCACAGTGAGTGGTGAAGCTGTGGGTACAATAAATGTCTTACTTCGTGACATACTGATTTTACTGTAAAATGATCCAATGGAACTTTTATTATTCAAAGACTATAGATGTTTATTAAGGAAACATTCACAGAGCATACAGATCAAAGCACTGTGCCAGAGCCCCAAGGGAACTCCCTGGGAGTTTCTGAACTTGCGTTTTCATATACTGGGAATTTTAGGTTACAAAATTTAAAAGTTAATAGAAGCTTATTGCAGGTAATGAGGAAGCTCTTTGCACCTCTATTTCCTAGCCTGCTTCCCGGCTTTTCCTCCATAATACCTTTTCTATTGTATACCGTATATATTTTACACTGTAGTCTACCTCACGAGAAAATAAAACTCAATAAACACAAAAGTAGGGGTTTGCTTTTTTCACTGCTGTATACTGAAAGATGGAGAGGTGCTACATATTTTTGAAGTGATAAATAATTACGGATAAAGATAAAAAGTAAAACATTCACCTATAATTCCACCACCCAGCCACTGCCACTGTTAACAGTTGTTTCCTTGGCCTTTGGGAGGGAATGGGCAGTTCCTTTCCTTTAGGGATCAGTCTGTTACCCAGTCGGCTCTTCCTTTCAAAAACGTCTTAGGTGTATGGTATCCCATCAGGCCCCCTTCACACCCTACACATTACCTCCTTAACTCGCAGCCCAGCTTGGAAGCTCCCCTTTGCCCCAACTCCTACTATCCGTCCTTCTTATTTCCCTTTCCAGGGCCCCGCTCCAGGCTGCAACGTCATCACGCTGGGACGTTGGGCGTAGGGCCGTGATGCCTTACGCAGCATCTGACGTCACGACGTAGAGCTTACCAACAGCGCAGGTTCCCGGCAGAGTCCGTTATGGCCGCTGTCTCCCAGAGGAGGATGAGGGGAGCCGTGCAAACGAAGCTGCGGCCCGGGCCGGGCATCCAGGTCCCTGGAGGTTTGGAGCGGCCGTTGGTCCTGACGCTCCTGCTTGCGTCCGCCGGTAAAAGGGGCGCGGCGGCGGGGCGGTTGCGGGGAGACCGGGGGACCCGGGCGCGGGTCGGGAGACCGGCAGAGCCAGGGCGCTTCCGAGTGTCCGGAGCAGGAGGCGAGGTCTAGATGGGCAGGGGCTCTGCTGGCCCGAGGAGGGAGAGGGGCTGTCTGTCTGAAGGGGCCTACGGAAGCGGGCTCCCTGCGAGGCCTGAGAAGGGGTGAGAGGACCCGGGGAGCAGGGGCCGCGTGTGTGGATGAGCGGGGAGGGAGGAGTGGTGGGGGGTCCAGAGCCTTGAAGAGTGCGTTGCCACAGGGGATGGCGGGGGGCGGGGTTCCCCAGAACTTCTTGGAGGGGGTCGTTAAGAGGGTATAGATGAAGAGGCCCAGGAGACAGGTGCTGAGGAGATGGCCGAGGTTAGGAGGTGTGGTGTCTGCACAGGGTCCCAAGAAGGGGGGCACTCAGGGGTCTAGCAGGACCGAGGTGGGCAGAAGCAGTGACAGGACTGAGTTGATGGAATATTTCGGAGAGCAGAAGTGAAGGGGAGAGAGCTATCTTCCGGTGCTGGTGTCTGTGAGGTCAGGTTCGGGCGTTTGGTAACGTTTGGTAAGGAGCAGCGGCTTGCGAAGAGGAGAGGAGTTCTGGGACAAGGGAGAGTCTTTGTAAACGGGCGCCCTTTCCCTGTGTCCTGGGTTAGCAGGACAATTCTGCTTTATTTTAATGGACTCATAGGACTTAAATATTTCATTAAAATGTTTAAATTACTTTTTATTGAGGTATAATTGACATATAACATTATATTAGTTTCAGGTGTACAATAATTTGGTATTTGTATACACTGCAAACTGATCACCACAGTAAGTCTAGTTACCAAGTTCTCATACATAGTTACAAATTTTTTTTTCTTGTAATGAGAACTTTAAAGATTTACTCACTTAACAAGTTTGAAATATGCAGTACAGTGTTAACTATAGTCACCATGCTGTACATTACATCCCTATGACTTATTTTATACCTGGAAGTTTGTACCTTTTGACTCCCTTTGCCAGTCCTCCCCCCCACCCTCCTCCACAAACCCTCAATCTATTCTTGGTGTCTGTGAGCTTGGCCTTTTTCATTTGTCTTGTTTCGATTAGTTTTTTTCTTTTTTAAGATTCCATATATAAATGAAATCATATGTTATTTATCTTTCTCTGTATAATGCCCTCATTGTCCATACATGTTGTCCTTAATGGTAAGGTTCCATTCTTTTAAATTTATTTTTATTATTATTTTTTATGGCTGAGTGATAGTCCATGTTTATATATCTAACATCCTTATTCCATTGATGGGCACTTAGGTCGTTTCTATATCTTGACTGTTTGTTGTAAATAATACTGCATGATTAAGTATTTATTTTCTTAGAAATGTTACATTGTGAATCAGAATACTGAAGGCTTCATTGAAAAATGAGGAAATCTGTAAACCAGGGCCTAAGGCTTAGGGGGAACAAATCCACTAATAAGAACTTATAATGATTAAACAGTATTTTTTTTTGTAGTAGTTTCTTTTTTTCTTTCAGGCCAAGATACAGTCCTGCTTTTCTTCTTAAATCATTTTTGGATTTTCAGATGAAGAACAGTGTGAAAGGGACAGTGTTCTCTTATTTGCCATCAGGGCTGTCTAGCCATACATTTTCCTACTGAAGTGCTGTGGTTACTGAGGTTTCCCAGCAGCACTGAGGGTAGGGTGAGTGGACACCACACCCCCCAGAAATGTTTGTAAGTCTGTGGGGATGGACTGTGGTCCATTTTCCAAAGACCCTTTCATCATTAGTAAAATATAATGAGGATTTCCCTGCTGATGCAGATAGTTGTGTTCCTAAAACACTTAAGTAGCATGATTGTTTTGGTTATTTAATCATCTAAGAAAAAAAAAGACATTTAAACATTTACATTTCTTGCTGGGATGCTTAAGATATATGGTTTGGAGGATATATGGCTAATAACTGTAGTTCCAGAAACAATGTTCACCCCTCAGAGATAGTTGAAAATCTTGTGATTGGGTTGAGGGGGTGGGTAAGTGAGGGGGAGTGTAGAGTATTAAGGTGTCCTTTGTGTATGCTTTTATTTATTAGAACCCCAGAAGTACTACTCCAACTATTGTGGGATAGCTTAGAGATTATATATATATATGAAAATAACTTAAATGAAAACTAACATATATGCTCTTAATAGGGAATCAGCTCGATTGCAGTACAGTGTAGCATTTATAAAGCTTTAGCTAATGTTAGTGTTTTTATAAGTGTGCCTTGTGGTACAGTGATTTCAAAGTTTTACTCTTGTAATAAGAAAATTAAAGTCTAGATAGAATGGCCCTGGCTGGTTTGGCTCAGCGGTTAGACGGTCAGCCTGCAGACCAAAGAGTCACAGTTTCAATTCCGGTCAAGGGCACATACCTTGGTTGCCGTTCATCCCTGGCCCTGACTGGGGTTGTGCTGGAGGCAACCAGTCGATGTGTCCCTCTCACATTGATGTTTTTCTCTCTCTCCCTCCCACTCTATCTGAAAATAAATGGAAGTTTTATTTTTATTTTATTTATTTTTAAAAATTTATTTGAGAGAGAGAGAATCATCGGTGTGAGAGAGAAACATGAACTGGCTGTCTTCTACCTACCCCCTACTGGGGATCAAGCCCTGAACCTGGGCATGTGACCTGACCGGGAATCAAACCGGTGACCTTTCAGTGCATGGGACAATGCTCGACTAATAGAGCCACACTGGCCAGAGCAGGAAGTTTCATTTTAAAAATGTTAAATTTTAACTAGAGAGGTAATATCAAATAGGAAAGGGTAGAAATAGAACATTTAGAAGTCTAAAGTAATATATATGTTTGTAGAAGCTCAGCAATTAAATCCATAAAGTCAGAATTATCACTTTGTTCTGAATACTCTTATCTGACTGGATCAAATTCTCTGTTTTGAAGGAGTAGAGGTCCAGGAGGTTGATCTGATTTGCATAAAATGTTTTAGATGAATCCTTAGTTTGTCTTCTTGAGCATTATTTTCAAGTTTTTAGTCCTTGAATAGTACTTATTAATTCTTCTCGTCCTTGGTGCTAGGTATTGGAGTTACAACAACAAATAGGGTGATGATGGAGATATGCTTAGAAGAGTGAGTGATGTTTTGCCAGACTGAGAACTCTGGGAAAGGCTTTTCAGAGGGTGCAGTAGGTACAAAGATGCAACTTGGGAAGTGGTGTGATGAGAGTTGGGTAAAGATCATGGTCACTAAATATTTGATGCCTGCTATCTGTTATGTAGGCAGTGGAGACAGAGTAGTTAGGGAGATTAGTAAGAGATAATGAGATTGAAATAATGGGGGCCAGATCATGTGGGAGCTTGTAAGCTACTATAAAGACTTGGAATTTCATTTTTGAGAGAAATGGAGAGCTCTCAGAGGGTTAAATTTTTTTTTTTTCAAATACTGTTTACATTCAGTATTATTTTGTGTTAGTTACAGTTGTACAGTATAGTGTAAAGCATATACTTTACAAAGTGTTTTCCTGATATTTCCAGTACCCATCTGGCACCATACATAGCTATTACAATATTATTGACTATACTCTGTGTTGTACTTGGAGAGCTCCCAGAGGGGTTTAAGCAGAGGAGTAATATCATCCTGCTTAAGTTTTTACATGATGTCTCTGGCTGTAGTGGAGAGTGGACAGTTGGGGTTAGGGTAGAAGCAGGCAGATCATTTAGAAGGTTGCTGTAGTAATCCAGGTGAGATGATGGTGGCTTGGACTAGGCAGTAGCAGTGGAGGGGTGAAAAGTCTTCACATATTTTGAAGGTAGAGTAACAGATCGGATGTGGGGTATTAAGAAAATGATGACTCCCAGGTTTTTGGCTCGAGTGACTAGAAAAATGGAGTTGCCATTAAGCAGGAGGGAGACTAGATGGAACAAGTTTTTTGTTTCTTTTTGGAGTGGGAAGTAAAAATGCATTTTTATTTTATTTTATTTATTTAAATTTTTTTTTTTTTTTAATTTCTTAGATAGAAGAAGAGAGAGGGAGAGAGAAATAGAAACATTGATGAGAGAGAACATCAACTGGCCGCCTCCTGCATGCTCCCCACTGGGGATTTGGTCCACAACCTGGGCATGTGCCCTGACCAGGAATCGAACTGGTGACCTCTTGGTGCATGGGTCGATGCTCAACCACTGAGCCACACTGGCTGGGCAAAAAATGCATTTTTAAATTAAACTTTTTATTTTTAAATAATTGTAGATTCACTTCCAATTACAAGAAGTAATACAGAGATCCTGTGTACTATTTCCCCAGTTTTCCCCAGTGATAACATATTGCAAAACTGTAGTATAATATCACACTCAGCATACCAATATTGATATAGTCAAGGTACAGAGCATTTACATCACCATAAGGACCTCTTGTATTGCCCTTTACAGTCACCCCCTACTTCCCTTCTATCCACACTTCCTTCTGAAATCCTGGCAACCACTGATCTGTTTTTTAGATTGATAATTTTGTCATTTTGAAAATGTGATATAAATGGAATCAGATGGTATATAAATTTTCAGAATTGGCTTTTTCACCTAGCATAATTCTCTGGAGATTCATCCAAGTTGTTTTACATGTCAATAGTTTGTTCGTTTTTATTGCTGAATAATAATATGGTATGGATGTGTACTATACTTTGTTTAACCATTCATCTGATGAGGGACATATGTGTTGTTTCCAGTTTGGCTATTATGAATAAAGCTGCTATAAACATTCAGATTTTTGTGTGAACATAGGTTTTGATTTCTCTGGGATAAATGCCCAGGAGTGCAATTGCTGGGTTATATGGTAGTTTCACATTTAGTTTTTTAAGAAATCGCTAAACTGTTTTCTGGCATAGTTGTCCTATTTCACATTACCACTAGCAGTATATGAGTGCTCTAGTTTCTTTGCATCTTTGCCAACATTTATTTGGTATTGTCATTTTTTTTAAAAAAGGGCTCACAATTAAAAAA